TTTACCGATTTGTTTCAGTGTAATCTTGCGTGCACTTCTGTGTGCATAGAGCTTACACGTGTCTGTTGGCCGAGTTTTTGGGACAATTGCAGCGGCCTCGGGTCTTTGGCTCGTGTAATATATAATGGGAAGTTAATGAAATGCTTCACTTCTCCCTCCCCGCTTATCTGCGTTGAAACTATTATTAATTATAGGCGCACCCTAATTTGCTACTAGCCCGGCTATCATTTGGAGTCCCCGAAGTCGTCAGAATGTGCTGAAAGCCTATATTAATTGCATTTTAATGAAACAGAAACAGGAACTTTCCGGCCCCGAGGTAAACCCTTTTTCTAGGGAATCTAGATCTATAATAAGATCCTAACGGACCGATACGAGCCTAGTTGTTAATGATATGGTAAATGCCAACTCCTCGGAGAGTTCGCTGCGGCATATTATTAAAAAGATTAACCAGCCTTCAAATGACAATATGTGTCTATCGCTGGTTGGCTTTTATTGGTCGCACCACAAATGAAATTAAATATTCGCAGCGGTGCAAAAAATGCATTAAAAAAAGTGGGGCTCTGCGGTTGGCGCATTTGTTGTTTTCGTTGCATTATCAGGCGCCATGACAAGAAAAAATACACACAAAAAAGGCAACAAATAAATAAAACATGCATGTGGAGAGGCTTATATAGCCCATCTGTCTCTCTCTGTGTGTGTAGGTGCATTGTTGCTGATAAAAAATTCATTAATTCATATACAAAATGCAATTAAGCGCAGTGGCTGCCACAATAAAAGCACGAAATCAGTGATGACCAACTAAAAAATAAGTAGTAAAAGCTGTGAGTTGTCGATAGTTTTGATACCCTTGTTAGATCAATTTATATGTTTTCTTTTATATTAACTATCTTTACAAAAAAAAACAAAGCACATCTGCCAAAATACATCGGAACCAAATGCACACAAATATAAAGTATTTTATGCAACATATTCAGAATAATGACTATATGAAAAGTAATGAAACTAAATTATTTGATTACAAAAGTCACTTTCACCCAACACGAAAACATCCTTTCCTGATCCAGGGTATCAAAGAAAAAAATGCTGCATAAATAAAATAGTGGGCAGTGGGTAGTGGGCGGCGGATAACAGCAAACGCAGCAGTTAAATTAACAAATTGCATGCATATTTTAATAAAATAAATATTTTAATAAGATTAAACTATAATGCAGCCAAATGTCAAAGCCGCGCGCTGCACATTCCCCAGCGGATATCAGAGAAAGAAATTTGAATAAAAAACTGATTGCTCTGTTTTATTTTTGTTTTTTTTTTTTGCTAGCTGTTTGTTTAATTTATGCGGTTTTCAATTACCTTTTGATATGAATTAATGACCGGCATACAATGCATAATCCTGGGGCAGAATATCGCACACACTCCGCTCAGCTCACATAATTTAATTAAACATTTTGTGGCAGGTGGGTGGTGGGCTGTAGGTGGGCTATCATGTTGAACTTGTCTCTATTCATCCGATCCCCATCCATTTGCCTTTCTTTTGCCAATAGCTTTGTGTTGCATGTTGCTGCTGCATTGCTGCATTCCTGCAACAACTGCAAGCGGCAACAACAACTGCGCCAAGAGCAACAACATTCTTTTGTTGCTCGCTGGGGCAGCAAAATTTCATGCCTGTGTAAACTATTTGTCGACAATTTTGTCTGCTACAAAAGTCCGCATGCCACAAGACCAGACCGTACACCATAGACCATAGACCATAGACCATAGACCATACCCCATCGACCAAGGCCCCAAGACCAGGCTTTCCGAATCGGAATCGAGAGGAAAATCTAGTGGAGCGGCTTGGATGGAGCGACCAAAGCGTTGAAGCGCGCGCCGCCGGCACGAACACGCTCAGCCTTTTGGCCCTGGCCAATTGCCGCTCTAATGACTCCGCTCCTGAGTGCCAAGCTCCCTGCCAATCAAGTGCAGCTCTTCGAGGCGCATGCAAAGTACATAAACAATGATGGAAATCAATGAGTGCACTTAGCAAAAAGGGTTAGACAAAAAAATAAAAAAAAAACAAAACACTGAAATTAAAAAAAAAATACGAGGAGCTTTTAGTCAAAGGGCTCAAAACTTTTTAAGTTAAATTCAAAGCTTATATGAGTTACTCGGCTACAAGAGCTCCTATTTTGATTTAATGAACCAATATTAATTTTCCAGAAATAAGATAAAGTCATTAGCAGTTCGCTAAAACTTTACATTATGTTGTGTTTAGCATCCCATTTTCTTTCAATGTAATACTATCACTCTAGAGGTTACCCTCCTTATCGGCAATGAAAAGTTTGGCGCGTTTAAAGTAAGTTTACGTGTACCACGGCAAAGTGCATTGATAAGAGTGCACCCCTGTCTCCTCGCCCTTTCTTTGCCTTTTGCTGATTAGTCGATCAATGTTCGGTCTGAACGGAATCAAGCTTTTAAATATGCAAAAAAGAGAGGTTGAAAAAGCGAAAAAAAATATACATACAGCGGCATTAAGAGCTCTTAAGAGTAGCGACTTCGAACCAGTTTTCGGACCCTCTTCCTGCCCTTTTCCCACTCCTTGGTCAACGCCATTATGGCTCATTATCGCCCCGAGCAACACAACATCTTACATTATGCTGATGAGTTTTTTGGCCATTCTAATAGGAAAAAGGCCTCGGCTAATTTATAAATATCTAGAGGAAAAAATACAGAAAACCAAAACAGAAACAAAACACGAGAAAAAAAAGGGAAAAGCACCACCGCCTCTTTGGTGGTTTGTTCATTAAACGACTGCCACGCCCACCAATGGCTGTTCATTAATTGTTGACAATGATTACCTGGGCCAACGCAAGACGAGAAACGAGGAAAAAAAGAAGCACAACGAAACGAAACGAATCGAAATGAAACTAAGGCAAAAACCAAGTCTCGAGGCGAATGCAATTTCAATTTTCAACGACAGGTGATAAATAAATCGAGACGCAACGAATTGAAAGCAGCAGCGGTGGCATCGGCAATCGATTCGTTGCGTTGCGAATGAAATTGCGCCATATTTGGGCGTTATTTGTGGCTCGGCTTTCCGACCCTCCGACTCTCCGACTCTTCAGGTGGAAAAGGGAGGAGGCCGCAGCCCCAGGACAGAGGTAGTAAACCAGCCCAAACGGGGACTTCAGCAGACTCCTCCTGAAGCCTCCCAAAGACTCAAAGTCCAAGTCCAATTCCAAGTCCGAGACTGAGACTGAGACTGAGGCGTTGGCAATGAGCGTCGAAGGCATTTAATTGCCACCGCGGCATTTTGACGTCTACGCATCAGGGAGAAGCGATGCACTGAGCCAAATATTACTATAAAATGTGTTAATTCCTTTTAGTCTGACTACAATTACTTATTTTATCTACTATTGTTTTATATGAGACAACGCAAAATACACAGGTTGAAGTATATATAATTATATTTATTTATATTTCATTTACTTAAAATTATATATTTTCTTTTTCTGTGCTTAAACAACGAACGAGTCGGAAACAAAGCAAAATACAGAGACAGGGACACAGAAGACTTTCTCGAAAAGGTGTTTTGTCGCCAGCCCGCCAATGCTACCTCCAATTGAGTGCGAATTGGCATTTCATTTGGCGCATTTGGCATTTTCGGGGCGCGTTGATCATTTAGCCGTGTTTAGTGTCCGTCGTTGTTGCGCTTTTTAATTTCGTTTTGTGATCAGCACAACAACAAAAAAGAGAAACAGAGCCACAACAACAAAATGATTTAAGATGTTCGACTGTCATTGGTGACAACATTGACAGTAAAATTATTTCTACGCGCTGCAGAAGGTTAATTATCGTTGATTTATTTACAAAAACAAAAAAACTCCAGCTGGGTCGAAAAAATTAAATTTAAATTAAACTTACAAGCCTTTTACCACAAACGGAAATAGGGAAGAAGTCGTTGTGAAATCAAGCTTTTAAGGATTAACTGGTTTTGACTAACAAAAAATTCAATCCGACTGCAAATGCTTATGGCCTTAAAATATCCATAAAATGTCACAATGAAATCACTTGAAAAAAAATGAAAAAAATGTATTAATTTATTGAAATAAAATGCGTGCAAATAAAATGCGGCAAAAAAGATAAAACACGGCAAAATCAAGAGCGAAAAAATGTACCATGACAGCCATAAATAATTAACAATACAAAACGAGATGAAGCAGCAGAAGAGGATTCTGCGTTAATTTGCATTTTTGTTTTATGATAACAAAAGCGAAAAAACAAGCGAAAAAGTTCAACAATTTCAGCAGGAACAAACATGGCAAACCGCAGGCAAAATTAAAACACGAGCACAATGTAAAAATTTTAAATTAACATTAACAGGGAAATGAAAGCGGTTAGCGTGGGTGAGATTTCTACGTGTGTGTGCGCTTGTCAAAGTGAATTTAAAATAATTATTGTACATTATGCGCCGCAATGCGTATTAAATTAAATGCTGCACAATAATAAAATTAATCAAGCACCAAAGCAAAAAAATATGTGTTCGTATAGAATATAACGAGGCAGGAAAACCAAATATTGCAGAAAGGTAGCAAACAAAAGCCAAACAAAAACTATATCGTGCAATAACAGCAACAATAAAGTGCATGTAATTAAGCGTTTTAATGCTTCATTTATGGACAAGCGGGAAGAAGGGTGGGAAAACATGAACAGCGAAATATTTGCATTTTCAATACCTCACATAAAAATTCTATACCTGTTCGGTATGTTTACTGATTTTGATTACATTAAAAGGCAAACAAATCTATCTTGTTTAGTTTACGAACTTAAAAAGGTCTAAAATTGTTTATTAAATCAGTGAAAAATTAAAACTCTGTCCAATAAACATTTAGTTTTACATCAAGTGTAAAAACATCAGAGTTCGCTGGCTAATCACAAATTACAATTTATTGACAATTAACGAATTGCATGCAGACAGCTATAATTGATATTAATTCCCCTATCCCGCTATCTTCTCGTTGCAGATGGTAAGTTCTTATCATCACTCAATCCTTCAGAACTAACATATGATGGTAAGTCACATTCCACATTAAGTCATTTAACACATTTATATCTAAATAGAGTTGATTGCTAGTCCGTAAGTTGAAGACATAGTAGAGTAGACCCGAGATCCGAGATCCGGAACACGTGCTGCCCTTCGGTTCGCACATCAATCAAAGCTGGCCGATGGCCAAGGGCATCGATATAGATCGGTGGGGCTTCCGTTCCCTTTTGATGTCTGATGTCCAATGTCTGATGTCCGATGGGTGATGTCTGTCACTAATCCTGTTCGCGATCACGTTCCTGCCGGGTCCACGCCCACTTTGCTCACGGCTGCGGCTTCCTGTTGCTGCCGATCTTCAAAATGAGAAATTTCTTTTTAATTTAGACTTAAACAGACTGGCCGGGACAGCTGATAAAAAATCATTATAAAGTTAAATTTTAATTAAAAACTACAATCGATTAAAGGGCGAGACGAGGGCAGGGACGACGGAATACTGTCTGCGGCTCATAAATTGAACATCGGCGGTCTCCTGTCTCCGGAGTCCGGAGCTTTCAACGTGCATGTGGGCCACGCCCCCTGAAAACATCCGACAGACGACGACGATGATGATGAACTTGTGCCAATTTTTGCGCTGCGAAAATCAGTGGCAGTTTTGATGATGTCCGAGGGCCGATAGTCGCCGCATTACGGCATTATATAAGCGCATTTCGCTTTCATTAATGAACATGGGGCAAAAACGAATGGACGAGCGCCCGGCACGTGAATTGAAATTTGATTTATGATCGGCGAGCGGCACTCCATGTGGGGCTTTTCTTTCTGTATTCTGTATTCTTTGTTCTTTTTGTTTTTTTTTTTTTTGCCGGCTAAGCAGCCTCCTCTGGGTCGTAAAATCCCCAGCTCAGGATGCAGTTTTCCCCTCTTTATGATGCGTTAAATTGAGGAATGGCGTGCCAGAGCATTTAAATCGTTAAAAGGCAAGTGTAGGGACGCTCAAATATAACTCATATCCGATTGTTTTTCCTGCACCGAAAGAAAAGTCGTAACAATGACGGATTGCTAAATAAAAAGGCTGCAGAAATGCTGAGCAGTATACAGAACTGTCAATTTTTTTGACCTTTCCAATTTCAAAACAGTTCTATTTTGTGCCAAACATTGCCAATCAAACAATACAACCAGACAGTGGGGCATATTATTCTTCTAAAATGTTATTTGAAATAGGTTAAGGTAAAGAGATGCTTTAATGTTCATATTGATAAACCCATTGTGGTATTGATGACCAGCACTACCTTTTTCGCTGTGTGAACTCAAGTTCGAGAGACCCACTAACCTACAAAAAGAGCTCTTATTTTAGGCTGGCCAAAAGGAGAGCAGCCGAACAATATGCCAAAAGTGTAATTTGTATTATTTCCTTCGACTGGCCGTGGGCGGTGGGGGGTGTGGACCGGGGGCGGGGGTGTGGCAGACGGCCGTTGGCCATGGTCAAGAACAGGACAGACAGAGACGGAGACAGCGAGCGTTTAAGCACAACTTTAAATAATCGTCTGTCAGAACTGTCAAACAAGCCGGCAAGCGCTAGAATTAATGGCACACACCCAGTGAGAGTGGGAGCGAGGGAGAGGGCAGAGTGGCGGCAGAGGGAGACAGCTGCAATTTGTTTAACCCTGCGCAGGCGCAAAGCGTCCGTTGAACCTGCAGTCCATATTTTTGTGCCTGGTATTTGTGTATGTGGAGCACAAGTTGAATTATTGTTCCTGCGATTTTGTTTTTTTGTTTGCTTTTAGCGCAGTCGCAGCGAGTTAAAAACAATGCCATTGCCATGGCGGTGCTTTATCAAATGCCCCTGTCTCTTTCACTCCATATACAGACCTCTCTTTCTTCTCAGATATAGCCTTCCCTTTCAGCATGTGTTTGTGTGTAAAATTAATGTTGTTGCGCCGCAGCGGGTGAACTTTCAACTGTTGCTGCTGCTGCTGCTGCTGGCTCAAGATGAAAAATTATTGCTTTTAATTTATTGCATAAACAAAGGCTACGCCAGCGGAATAAAAATGTCTGTGTGAGTGTGCCTGTGTGTGTGTGTGTGTGTGTGTGTGTGTAAGTGTAACGGTTCTCAAGGTCACGGGCGAAAGAGACAGCAACTGGGGGCTTTCCCCGGCTTCGCTGCCAACTGTCAAAAATGATTTAGTAGTTCAAAGCCGCGTTTTGCGTCTGCTGCAAAAGTGCGAAAAATATATGTGAGGGCAGCGAACGTCCGACAGCAGCTGTCAAATGCAAATACAGCAACACAGCGGTGGCAGCAGCATCATCGCAGCACGGCGGCAACAACAACAGCAAAAGCAACATCCCCGCAGCAACGGTACACGATTTGAAAACAAATTTTGACAGTTTAGCAAAGGTCACACAGAAAGTAAAAGTTGACAGGCCCAGAGGTGTGTGCGGTTAGAAAAAAGGGGGTGTATTTGATAGATTGACATCATTGGGGCTTTCATTCACTTGTCAGGAGCACAGTTTGCGAAACTCTGACCGCCGCTGAAACATTACTTTTTTATAGTTCATTGAGCCACCGAAAAGCGAGAGCGAATCATTGACAGCCAGCCACAATAAACTGACAAATCAAAATCAAAAACAAACCAAATTAGCTAGTCATAAAAACGTCTGAAGTGAGGGAACAGCCATCGAAATGGCAACTGTTGATAGATCATTTCAAATAAAATACAACGCAGACGCGTGATTTATGGCGTTTGATAAATGAGAATTTAATAAATTTTTAGCTTATTTGGATTTTCAGTTTTTAGTGCGGACGGCAATTAAAACGTGTATGGAGCAGGCAAATGGTGGCGCTCGTTTCGATAGATTAACGGGGTCTTAATGTTGTTTGATGGGGTCTCAGTTTTTTGTTTCGCCTGGTATTCAAATTTCTTTATTTTCGAATTTATTTGGTTTGCCATCAATTAGCGAAGAGAGCTTTGATTTAAAGCTTATACCTTAACTATGGTTAATGGAAAATATTAGCTAAATTGGCTGTCCAAAGACAAGCCTTTTTGATATGTCGTTTGTATGTAAAACCTTTTTGATTTTTTTCTTTTTAATTATTTTCATACATTAGTAAAACATTTTCTCTGTGTACAAACATTATTTCGGCGATAACTTTCCCCAAATTGAATAGCCAACCGTTTAAGTCACTTTCTTTGATGCTCTGGCTCATCATAATTCCTCGACAGCCACCGAAAGTTCTTTAGCCAGACACAACCCACATAAATCCAAAAGTACCTCCCAAGTTTTTTGTCCTCCTGAATTATGCATGCAACAAATTGTATAAAAATTTCTGCAACTTTACGTTGTTACGTGCAGAAATTTGGAAATCAAGCGAAGCGAACCCCAGAAATTTGAGGCGCACTTGTCGGGGGTAAATAAGAGGAAAACCAGAAGGACGAAAGGACCGGCAGGACTGTGGTCCCTGGTCGCTGGTTTTCTGGCTTAGCCCGGCCCGAGTCAACCCCCAAAGGATATGCTCGAATATTTATTTTTTTCTCTTCGCTCAGCGTTTACAAAGTGATTACTTCTGTTTAAAAATTGATGTCTCGATGTTGGACACGTTTTCAATTTCCAACGAAGTGGCGCGTGCTGTAGCCCCCAAAAACTTACAGGTGCCGGATACATTTCCCATCGTCAGGGAAGAGGAAACTCAGCTCAAAATTGTCAAAAGAAATTCCATAAATGACTTTGTCAAGTCGTTAAAAACGAACACAATTTGGTGTCGCTTTTTTGTCTCGTTTGGCTTTAATCACCGATTGCTGTCATGTCCGAGCTGAATGGCAATTAAATGGTCTACGACTCGTTAAATCATTCATGATTAACTCACTTCAGCTCCCTGTCCTTGAAGATTTAGTGCCGTTGAGAATCGTTAAAGATATGCCTCACATTTCGAATCGGAATCAAAACCGAAATCGAAAACAGAAAAGCAGACGGACTGCTGTCGCATAATCGATGAACTTTGATTGGCACTCATAAAAGCCGTCAACCGGTTGTGTTTTTCTCAAATAATATATTATAATTGCCGCCAGCTAAAAAGGTAACTTGGCACAAAAGAATGTTGGCTTCGCTAGGCCCAAATGGCTTTTTAATTTGGTCAACGAAAACGGGTTGGAAAATGTTGGCCGGTGTTTGTTTTTTGTGTCTGCGGGTTTGACATTTAATGGCCTTTTGCCTTTGGGGGAATGTGTGGAATGTTTCATTTGCATATGCAGCCTGCACCCTCAAATATGCAGTGCTTTTTGTTCCACCAACATAGCAAGAAGGTGTGTTCAGTGGGGAATTTCGTACACACAAAAACAGAAGGAATTTTTACGTGTGAAATGGTATTATCAAATGGTTGTATATCCTCTTTGATGTGAGCAACATGAATTTAAACCTAAAAGGTTCGTTATGTTAGTTTAGTCAACTAAGTAGTTACTTTGATTCTATTGATCAGCACATCAGCATTTTTCTTACTGTGCATTATTGTTTTGTTTAATTTATTTTTGCCTCCTCAATTCAAGGGGAAAACTTTGATTAAACTTCTTGCCAATAGAAGCAGAGCTGGCACATATATATATACATGGTGTATGTCTGACCAACTTTCATATAAGTAACATAGATAGCGCGCCCACAGAATAATCGAAGGGAAAAGAGAAGTTGGAGTAGCAGAAGGATATCCATTTGCCAAAATAGCAAAACTTGCATAAAAACTTTTGCGCAACAACTTGGACTTTTTCATCGACAAAAGCAAAAGGAAAAATAAGAGGAAAATGAAACAAACTTTTAATGCAACCACCCACATTTTGCCAGCAAAAACACAAGCAAAAACAAGCCGAAGATAGACAAACTTGCAGTACGCCTCCTCGTCCTTGTTGCCGCCCATTTGCACAGCTGTCAGTCAGTGGAAAATATTTCCCAACCAACGGGGAACGAGACGGGTAGAGTTGGGGGCGAAAGAGAAGGATAGAAAGCCGGGAAAGCTGGGAAAGCAGAGCCAACATGGCGAACAAAAGT